AAAAAAATAGAAGTCATAAATGGAGACTCCCATTATTTCAAGACTTATGAACATCAAGATTCCATATTTTCCCTGACCCGATCCAACAGCCTCTGCAAATCTTCTTCTCCATACCACATATCCTTCTCTCGAATCCTCGACACGAAATTCATGGCCTCTTTATACCTTTTGGCCTTGCAATAACCATCCACAACCGTATTATACGTCCGCTCGTTCGGCCTGCAATCGTGCTGTATCATATAGCTAATAAACTCGTCCACCTCCTTGAAAAACCCTCTCCTCGAAAATCCCGCAACAAACGTGTTGTAAGTAACTACGCAAGGCCTTATGCCCCGACCCGTCATATCCGTTAAAATCCCCATAGCTTCCTGCATCAGCCCTTGTCTACAGAACCCATTTATAACTGTGTTGTAAGACACGAGATCGGGCTTCACATTGTTTTCGAGAAGCCCATTTAGAACTTCTTGGGCCTTCCAACAGTCGCCTGACCTTGCGTACACATCCATCAAGCTGTTGTAGGTCACGAGATCGGGCTGCAACCCATTCTCTTGGATAAGATGCAGTATCTCGTGCACACGTTCGTAAATTTTGTTCCGAGCGAAAATCGAGATCATAGAGTTTAACAGAACTAAATCGGGCTTGTACCCGTTTTTCAAGAACTCCTGAAAGGCCCGCTCCATCCCCACTAGTGACCTGCACTTGTAGTTTGCTAGAATCAGGGCTCGCAAGAGCACCCAGCTCGCGAAAATCCGGCCGTCGTAAATTTCCTTGGCGATTTTCTCGATTCCCCTGATATTTCCGCCTCTCGAGTAGCTATGGAGCATGAGCGAGTGTGTTGCCTCGTTCGGCTTGAAACCTTTGCTCCTCATGTCCGAAACAACTGACTCCGCCGCCTGCCAGTCCCCTTTATGGACCAAGACATTCAAAAGCGCGTTGTAAGTCGTGATGCTAGGAGAAAATCCGGCTCGTATCATCTCCTCGAGCATTTTGGTGACGTTTATCTGGCACCCACATCGGCCATATGTTCTTATCAACGTGTTAAACGTATCCCGATCGGGCTGAAACCCAGAATTCTTCATCTCGTGAAAAACACGGTTCACGTGCTTCTGCATGCCTTTGTTCCCGCACATGGTAAGCATTGTGTTCCAAGTCACGCGATTTGGGGTGCAGCCGTTCGATTTCATGTCCGAGATCATCTCCATCATTTCCTCCACACGGGACTTTCTCCCGAGCATACCAAGAATCGAGTTAAAGGTGCAGACGTTCGGGACACAGCCTGATTCCTTCATTTGCCTGAACATGGCCAGAGCCCTGTCTTCTCGGCGAGCCTTGCCATAGGCGTCAATGACGGTTGTGTAGGTCACGACATTCGGTTTTATGCCCTTTTGGGTCATGGTATCTATTAAAGCTGCTCCTTTTTCGTGAAAACCGGCCCTCACGTATGCGGCCACGAGCTCGTTGTAAGTGACCGAGTCGGGCGGGCAGTTACTTTCCTCCATTTCTTTTAATACGCTCAAGGCCTCGTTATAAATACCCGCCTTGCCATAAACCTGAAGCAACGAGTTATAAGTTACCGTGCCCGGCACATATCCATTTAACTTGAGCCCATCAAAGAAACTCTTAGCTTCTTTCAATAAACCTTCTCTCCCACATGCAGATATAACCGTGCTACAAGTGAACTCATCAAACTCGAGCCCGACACTCCTCATCTCATCCAAAAGGTGCAAGATTTTATCCCACGAACAACCCATTTTTCCATAAACGTCGAGCATCACATTGTAGGTAACCAAAGTCGGGCATAAGTCTCTGCCCTTCACGAACTCGAACAAGGCTATTGCCTTCTCGTACTTCCCGCTACGCGAGTACGAGTGCAGAATGGTGGTCCACGCACGAATGTCTAGTGTGAAATCCTTATAAGGAATTACATCAAACAGTTTGGAGGCAACAGCGTGCTGAGACTCCCTACCTAGAATCCAGACCATCAACTCAATAACCTGATCCAATTTATCACTTTTCGAGACATCCAAATTAAGCACGACCCACTCGAACAACAAAATGGCCCTCTCGGCACCACCACAAACATCCAAACCTTTCAACAACCCAAACAAATCAACCTCCTCGAGCAGCTTAAATTTCACAGAATCGAAAAGGGACCCCAAATCACAAACGGGCTGTTTCAAGATCGAGTCGAGCAACAACTTACAATTCATAGGAAGGAAATCGAGAAGCCCATCATCGCCGGTGACCTTGTCGTCGATTGTCGGCATTGCAATCGGGCTGTCATCGTCTCTCCTGAAACGGGCCGGCACAACGTCTGAAGAAGCCAGGGAAGATTTGGCAGGTGAAGAAATGTGGAGAAGGTGCTGGAGGAGAGAATCGAGGGGAAAAGATTGTTGGGAAGCTTTCGATGACGGCGGCGGCGGCTGCTGTAAGGGCGGCAACGGCGGGAGGGGAAGGTTCGAGGTGTTGATTTTGGGGCGGGTGAATACAGGTCTGTTGGGGAAAAGGGCTCCTCCCTCCATGGCCAGAACCAAGGAACAGCGTGATAAAAAAAGAAAAAAATCGTCTTCAGTACTCGGAAAGAGATGATGAAAGTGTAGAAATTGATTTTTTTACGGTGATTTTAGGGATTTTGTGTTTGATGAGGTCCACAAGGTTTTCTTTGTCACCCACCTATCCCCAGTTTGTGAAGAAGAGGTTATTTCTTCTTTCTTTACACTTGTAGCTCGTCCTTGTTTTGTTTGTTAGCAAGTGAATAAATTACACCCGAGTCGGACTAGGGTCGACCCGGCCCAGATCGACCAGTTTTTTAACCGAACCCTTACCCGTATGCACAACCGGGTCGATTCCGGGTCGGATGACCAGTCATATTTTTTATTTATTTTATTCTTTTAAGCCTGTGGTTCATTACTGGCCCTTAGGTATAGCCGGGCCGGTTTCGGGCTCAACATTTGAAGTCCACCGACCCGGCCTTTGCACATGTTTACCTGAGTTGTAAGTAGAGTTGTAAACGAGTCGCCACCGCAATAGAGTTTACCCATCAAGTTCGGGATGAATTGGTTGTGGTTCCTCTATGCTTAGAGTACCAGAATATCGAACCATGAACGAACAAGGCATGAGAGAAAAGTCTTGTTGGCTTGTGATTGTGAGGTCGAATCCTTGATTGAATGGGATTTTAGCTCTAAGATTCTCAAACTTACTCTCAGACTCAAACTTTTAACGAGCTAATAATTATTAGAATTGGTGAGCGGCCTTCTCGAAACTAAAGTTGCAGACATGTTGAGTCGAGTCAAGCATAAAACTTATCAAGCGCATATTGAACTTTTTTCTTCAATGCTCGAACTCGTGGAGGCATGTAAAATGACACTCAACTCAACTTGTAAAAAAAAAGATAAGATGCTCGAGATCGACTCGATGTTCGACATGACTCGAGTTCGACTCTTTATTTTAACAACTAAACTTAAATATAAGAGTATTATTTTTTATCTAATTAGACAATTTTGGTCTTGGTGTTCAAATAATGATAATCACATTATATGGGGTATTTATGTGAATAAAAAGTCGAGTGGCTAGTCGAGCTTATGACTCCTCTTAAAATGATGTTCGAGGCTCGACTTGTTTATTTGATTGAACTGTTCGAGCTCAACTTTGACCGAGTTCGAGTTGAGCATTGGCACGTTTGTAGCCTTACTCAGAGCATAAATCATGTATAATTATATAAATTGCGTAAAATGCCTATTTATCGAGACTAACAAGACATATCAAGTTTGAAGTACTCAAACTTGTTAACTAAACGGTTTGTTAAACAAGTCTTTTGAAGACGAATTGATCCCATCCTATTCGCTTGACAAGCAACTTGATTCATGCAAATGTAAGTAAG